CTGTATACAATTTTCATGATGAATGGGGTTGGGGCCGCTGCGCGGCCTAGGCACCCAGTTTTGTTTAAAGAAAGAAAGAAAGTACTTAGGTTATGCTTTTATAGTACTTAGGTTATGCTATACCTTTCAAAAAGCGAGCGAAAATAGTCAAATATTTACAAAATTTACTTTGTAGTTTTTTACCGTTCTTTTTTTAAATTATTTTAGCGTGCCCGGAGCAGTTAGCATCTCTGAATATAGCCATTTTCCATGGAACAAAAGCGCAGTATATCAAAATTGTCCACCAAAAGAAAAGATAATGTTCTAAAGTGTGTTTTAATTCATTAAAAAAAAATTTGGCCGGTTTTTTTTTTAAAAAAATCTGTGCGTTAAGTGGTTACTATGCAATTAAATATGTAAAAATATTTTAAAAATCTGTTTTTAATTTGTAATTCAATACTTTTGTTTTGCACAACTTGATAAAAAATCTGACAGTAATATTTATTGTTCCTTCAAACATGAAAGAGTCCTATATAAAATTTTGATAAAGTTGCGGCCCGCCATTTGACTAGTGTTTTTAATTGCGGCCCCCGACCTTAAGTAAGTTGGAAGCCCTTGGTATAAATCATATCTCGACTGAACAGTAGTTATTACGGTTAATTTATTTTTATCTTTTATAACTAGTAATAAATATAAACCATTAAAAAATTTGCAAGTTTCGCTTGGTTTTTTATATTTATTTCTTTTTTTATATATATTTGTGAGTGATTTAGGTAAAACGAGCACTCTGTTTTAACGCGATTATTCTTCGTCCCTATATTCTCGTTATAAACGAGTTTTGACGTATTTGTCTAAATCATATCTTTACATCTTTACTGAATAGCTGTTATTATGATCAATTTGTTGTTAGCTTCTAAAACTAGTGATAAATATAAACCATTCGAAAATTTGCAAGCTTGAAAATAAACACGTAACAAATGTACATTCGATACAAAAGTTGCTATATCTTATGTTGATTAAACACGTTCTTCTAATCAGCGTAATTTATTTAGTTATGAATGCATTTAAATTTAGTGAAGTTTTCGTGATATCTTTCTCTTTTGGATAATTTCGATGCTCTTTATTTTAGCTCTCTCTTTAGAACAATTTTAAAGCTTTTTATTATAGCTCTCTCCTTTTGACAATTTTGAAACCGCTTATAGCAGCTCTATCTTACCGACGATTTTGAAGCCTTTTATTATTGTTCTCTAACAACGGTAGATACAGAGACTCTGGACAGGACTTGCACGCCTTAGCTTAACATTTAACTTCCTGCAGTTCTTTAAGTTTTTCTATTGAACTATACTCTCTTAAAATGAACGAGTGAAAATAACTCAACTTGAGTGCTATTTAACTCTTTCATCTAGAAAAAACCGGCCTTCTCATCTTGAGTTAAAATCACTCAAGTGAAAGAGTTATATGAAAATAGCTCAATTTGAGTGAAAAAAATTTCACTCAAACTTTAGTTATTTTCACTCGAGCTTGAGTGATTTTCAGTATTACCTGAGTGGATCGTTTTCACTCAAACTTGAGTGATTTTAACTCATGTTTGAGTGATTTTCAGTATTTCAGTTTGTAAATTGCAGTCAAAATTTNCTTCTTCAGAAATACCGCTGTGAACTAAAAGTTGTTTTAATTCTTCTTAATTCAAAATATTAAATGACATATTCTCCAGAAGAAAAAAATTTAACGTAAAATAAAAACGAAGACATAATCTATTTAGATCACAGAACATAACAATTTTATTTAGATTTATTATTGTTTGCTTTTTAAAATAAAGCGATAGAAATTCCAGATTATATTTTGCGCGCAATTAAATATTAAATAAATCACTCAAGTTTGAGCTAAAAGCACTCAAATATTGCTTAATAAATACCACTCAAGTTTGAGTAAACGCAAGGTAAGAATTTTGCTCAAATAAGAATGTGTTTCACTCAAGTTGAGTTAAAAAAATTTAACTCTTTTTTGAGTAGGAGAAATAACTCTTTCATTTTAAGAGAGTAGATGTGCTTATTATTCGCCTTCTAATGACAGAATCGGGCTCGAATCCCAGCGATGGCTGGTCGATACAAATCCGCACCCGACTCGCACCGATCACTGTGGGAACGAAAAATATCCTCAGTGATAGACGGATCATGGGCTAGAGTCCCCTTGCTGTCAGGCTAACCGTGGGAGATTTTCGTGGTTTTCCTCTCCATGATTGCGGATTAATTCCATCAAAAAGCCCTCCACGAAGGCAAATTTCTCCCAATGACTGAGTCAGGAGTTCCCTTGTCTTCTGTATCAGGTTCGATATCACAAGGCTGTAGAATTGAACATTGGTAGCCGTAAATTAAAAATTGAGTCAACGGTTATAAAATAAGATATAGAAATGATAAACATGAAAAAAAAATCACCAATTCAGTGAAGAATAGGCAGGAATAGATAATATTGGGGATAAACAGAAAACTTGGATTCTTTCTCTATCAGTTCTCACTCATCGAAGTATATTTAGTATTAAACAAAACACAAGTCAATTGCATTGTATTTATTTATTACAAAATCAATACATTTCAATGAATTCTACACAAATGACCCGCATTTTGATTTTTCAAGGTTAAAAATAAATAGAAAGACACAAATATAATAATAAAATACACAAAAGATAAAAAAAATAAATAAACAAGGTGGGACAAAAAACTTCATGATTCAATAAACAAGAATGACAAAACATTCTAAGTACTAATATTTTTTCTTTTCTGTAATAGTTGTTTCTTCTGGTTCAAAAAAACGAAAAAACATAGTTTTTCCAACATAAGTATGGTAAGTAAAAATATGAATGTTAAGAATGAATTACAGAACAAAGTATGGTTTAAAACTAAAGCATTATCACAATAAGAAAAGATAAGACTGGAAGTCTTATACTTTATCACAAAACTTATAACAAATTAAATAAGTTTGCTCATCCTATTATTCAGTAAAATAGCTAAAATATACTCAAAAGCTCACGAATGAGTTAGAATACAGGTACGGAATTTAAATAATATTATCATCTTTGTCTCTTGGATATATAACAGTACTTGACGAATACAACACTATTTCTGTACTGTAAGTGAAAGAGTGCTCAGCCTAGCAAACTTCATTTAAGCTGTTTTGATCTCTGATTTCCTTGTGTTGGTCTTTCATTTTCTTGTTGGGTGTCTTGGTTATCCAAATTTCGTTGAGGCGGTTGAAAAGCTGAAGGGGAGGGTCATACCAGTTAAGATAATAATGATCACGAGCTACTGCTGTATCTTTTGATGTCAGATCTGCTAATATTTGTGCTTCTGTTATCCATTTAGACTCACTTGGTCGACCTCCGAAACTCCTGTGAATTCAAAAATAAATGTATATTATTTACAATAAGGCAGGTTATGCATTAAAAGTTTATGGTTTACACGTTAAAAATTTGACTTAGAACTGGAAGAATTAAAACTACCACAATTGATGATATGTTACCATTAGCAAAAATTTTGCAATAAAAAGCTAGCATGGAAGGAAAGGCTGACATGTTATTTTAAAAACTTTTTCCTTTAGAGATTCTTTCTGGAATAATTTTCAAGACAGAATTAGAAATTGGAAGAGACCCAGTCTGGCTTCCTTTAGAAAGTCAACATAATTTAATTACTAAAATTTAATTGAAAAAATTCAAGAAGTTTCGTTGAACCCTTTTTCAATGATCCAAATTAAGACAAACTTTAACTTAGTTAATGAAGTCACTAAAGGCGATGCACCCACTGAGACACTAGAATGCTTAGCCCTGAAAACTATTGATATTAAATACCCAGAATCTGACTGAACGCATTGTATATAAATAGCTGGATCATATTACGAAAATTTTGGGTCAGCAGGCTTCGGAGTTCTTCTAGCTTTTTTTTTTCTTTCACTTTATTCCTCTCCCTGGAAAAATCAAAATGCATTAGGAGAGGTAAAAGCTATCAGAAGTACCCTGGAACAGCTATTTATAATAACAGAAATGCTATATTAATGTCAGATTGAAGGGCAGCAATTCTGGCTATTGGCCTTCTTGAAAACCTTATTTCAACAATGATTCTTTATTTTAGAGAATTTATCCGATACCAACAACAGAAAAATTAAAAAAATAAAAATACAAGAGATTCTTGAACACAGTAGGATGTTTGGAAATGAACAGGTAGACTTTCTCGCATGAAAAGATACATCGCTGATTCAACCATACTCTGCTATACCTCATTATAAAACTAAACTTAAAACAATATATTAGACAAAGGTATTACTCTAAAGGTGATATTTAGATGAGTGATATTTAGGTGACTATTAGGTGATATTCATATTAGACAATGGAAAATAAAAACCTCACTTGTTTACCAGAACATCCACGACGTGATGCAATGGCCTCTTTTTAACTACTAACAGGCCATGATTGCCTTTTTGATCATCTTGACCGAATCATCATTTTTGCCCACTCAGTGATCTTAGAAAACTCAAGAACAGAGACCCTCTTCACTGCTGCAGGGCACTTCTTGGCTACGATTCCGAAATCACATTATATTGGCGTGCTAGAGACTGTCTTAGACAATGATTTCGGTCATTTTTGTTCTGTTAATTCCTTATTGCTGTATTCAATCAATTGTTGCATCTTGCACTTTCGAGATAGAATTGCAAGATCCATTAGAAATAAGAAAAAAAGTTAAAACTTCTGGATCATGTTGAACATTAACATCGCTCAAACTAGCAACAACCTTAATAAGGTCACAAATTGAGCCATATTATCGCGCAACTTAATCTCATCTTAACGTGCTGCAATAGCTCAACTTGAATACAAATACAATTCATCTTAACATCTTAGACTGCAGCAAATTTGCACAGTTTTATGGTTAAAAACTGAACCAATATTTATGAAAATGTAGAGAAATTTTTTTTGGGAGGGGGGGACGTCTTTTTACTTATTTTTATCATCATCTGCCTGCTCAGTGTGATGTCAATTTTCTAAATGAGCCTCCTGTTTTCCTGAGAAACGCTAATGGAATATTTATAATTCACCGACCGGACTGTGTAGAGGTCAGAGAGCTAACTTCACATCAGAAAGGTTCTATGTTTAAATCCCGAACAAGGCATGGGTGCTCTTTCATTCGCTGTATTATCTGTTCTTACTGTGGGAGAAACATTGGCCCACCTAATAGGGTGCTCCAGAAACAGTCATCAACAAACTGTTACTTGAATGACGACAAAAAATCGGGTGGCCATTGGAGAAAAAAAAATATTTGCAATTTAATGTGAGTTTAATCGAAGCAAATTGACTGTAAAATAAATGCCTTACTCATAACAGTGAGAAGAGTGTAATCATGTTTTAAATGGGATAGATATCTTGCATAAAATACTATATAATGCCAAAAATACTTCTGAAATAGTAATCTTTCAAAAAGTTTAATTTGGATTGACACTAAAATATTTCTGCTTCGAAATACATCAAAAAAGTTTCAGAAATAACTTAATAATAGTTGCTGAAAAGCGATCATTTTTTTAAATTTCAGATGTTAAATAGGAATCTTTGGAGATTCGAAACGCTTTTATAGTGAACTTTAGCTACGCAATTTTGACGTTTTTGGACGAGATGACAATGATTATTACCTGACAACATATCTCTTAGGAAGCTCTCTTTCGAAGAAGAGATCGACATCTGTTGGGATAGGTAAGAGATCTTCATACATGCCGTTCGGTATCAATAAAGACATTGTGTAAGTAGGTTCACACATTGAATCGTCCTTACACGGAACAACTTTTGTTCTTGTTGGAGTTGTACTGTTGATAAAAGCGTCTGCAAATAAAAAGAATAATTGAATTATATTGCTGGAAAATATTATATATTGTATACTTGTTTTTAGATTGCTTTTCAACTAAGTATGTTTGCAGTTTTTCAGTCTTGAAAAGACGGAAATGTGCAATTTATACATATATGTACCTTGTTTTACATCTCGTTACGCCATGAAGCTACCCATGCTGCAGAGAAACATCAATTTTGTCTTTACAATACGTATATTTGACCAAAAATATTTACGTAGCAACTATAAAATTTACGTAAAGCTGAAACGTCAGATTATAGCAAAAAAATAGATATCAAAGAGAAGTTAAAGTTAAAAAAAAATCTTTTATCTACGCATATTTTACAAAAAAAAATTTACTAGGTAAAAAAGCATACTCTATTTATACTAACTATTTACATTAATTCTTTAGTTATTTATAGACATTAAATTTAAGTCAATTATAAACATATTGAAAACAAAAAAGTTACGTAAGAGCATACACGTCTAATTGTAGTAAAATAAGGATTGTAAAATAAACAATATGACGCCGGTGACAACCTATCCCAGGGGTTTTCAGCTTACATGCGGCCGGGGGCCGCAATTATAAACACCAGTCAAATGGCGGGTAGCAACTTTATCAAAATTTTATATAAGACTATTTTATGTTCGAAGGAAAATTAAATATTACTGTCATATTTTTATCAAGTTGTACAGCACAAAAGTATTGAATTACAAATTAAAATAACAAGTAGATTTTTACCTGAGAAGTAAATTTTTTCTCACCGTTGGTATGTTACATTTCGCAGAAACGAAGAAATTAGATTTTTTTTAACGAAAGAAAAGCATTTTGAACCCATATTGATGTTTTATGAAAATTGTCCACTAACAAATGACAACTAATATATTTTAGTTCGAGGGCCACAAAAAGAGACTTCGCTGGCCGAATGTGGCCCGCGGGCTGCCAGTTGGTAACCACTGGCCTATCCGATTCTGGGCAACTGACTCATCTAAAAGTGCATTTTCTTATAATTATGCTTCCAATGACCAAAAAGTTTTCTTCTCAGTTATTGAGGTAGAAAATATTCAACTTCATAAACGAATTCTTTTATTTCCAAATATAATAATTTTATAACAATATATAATAATTTAAACTGTTATAATAATTATATGATTCTTTTGAAGCATTTGTCAATGTTCTGGTAAAACTTTAACAAAGATGAAAGCACTTACCTTGCAGATTAGCCCCTTGAATGTATCGGAATAATTTTTTGTACAAATTGATCTGAGCTCTAGATAACGATGGACCGGTTTCCTTTGCACTTATCCACACTGTAGCAGGATACTGCCTTTCCTCAAATTCCTGAACAAAAAAGGAGAATTATATTTTTTTCAATCGTAAACAAGTTTAAATATTAATTTATGCTGTTTTTTCGCACATTTAAACATTTAAGAAAAAAAATCCAATTAAGTAAAATTATATATTCAATCACTCGAATTCTAAAAACAACAATAGAGTTAATTATTCAAGTACTTTAATAAGTAAAGTACATTTATTTTAAATAATTTATCATTTTAATGTTTTCACTTATTTGAATTAATTATGAAAAAGTTAGATATTCCCTTATTTGAAGACTTTAAATTACAAAAATGCAAACTAATGATGCATTTACTTATTTGATTAGTTATAATAAAGTAAATATTTACCTAGTATTGTATATTTGATTATTTAAATTCTTTTACGTACTGTGAAATATATGTTATTTATATTCTTTTATTTGAAAGTTTATAAGCACTATAACGTTATAAGTATTCTCTGATTATTGTAATTAAATATTCTTTTATTTAACGTTATGTACAGTGGATAAAAAAAAGGGACCACCCTGAATAACTTTTGATCTAATGATCGGATCTTCACGTTCTAAGACTCAATCTTAATGATTCGAAGGTATGACCTCAAATATGCCAATTAATTAGTGCAGACGATATCCTGTCACGAAATCAGACACAAAATCGTACTTTCTCTGAATAAACGTACCCTTTTTTCAACGGATTCAGATTTCTGGCCCCCAAAGTATAAGGGGCAGCCACAATCTGGAAAATATCGTCCCCATAGTTTGGTCAGGAGAGGGATCCTAAGTTCGGACCCATTAATGTTAATTTTACTTTGTGCGTATTTCACCATATCTCGAGAACTTTTTAAGCATATTGAAAGGTTTTTGCCCACAATTATGAAATTCATTTTTCCAAAGATAATTCCGCGCAACGAATAAATTTTAATAAATATTTCTTATTTTTCACTATTATATTAAATAATAATCAAAAAACATTTGAATTGTGAGGTATATATATTTTCTATGTCATTTAAAGCACGTAATTTTACGTAGAAAAATATAAAATTTGAGCGAAATTGGTTGAATAGTTCCGGAGAAATCGAATTTTAAATATACGACTTCTTTACAAATATGCGATTGCCTTTCATGTTGGTCAGAAATCCAAATCCGTCAAAAAAAAGCTTTGTTTATTCAGAGAAAGTATGTTTTTGTGCCTAATTTCGTAATTTAAAATATCGTCTGCACAAATTAATTAGCATATTTTAGGTTACCCTCTCGAATTATTAAGAATGAGTCCTAGAGCGTGATGATCTGGTCATTAGATCAAAAGTTATTAAGGGTGGTTCGTTTTTTATTTTGCTCACTGTACATTAATATAATTAATTCTCCGATAGCTCTTTCTTGAATTAAATAACGTGAGAAATAGCTAAACTCATTGCTTGCTTCATGTACATGGTATCAAATCCGAAGTAAATTTAAAAAGCAAAGAATAAAATCGTATAATACCGAGTAGTAAATAAATTATTTTAACTAACGACCAAATTTATAAAAACGAAGACAGGTGAATTGAATTTTTTTTTCTAAATAAATAAAATAATTTGTTTGTAGAATAAAATTATAAGGCTATTTCGAAATATATTTCATTAAATGAAATGCTCTAGAAAAGTGACTAAACATATGAATACGTGTTACGTTTTACCATACATATGAATACGCTTAATTAAACTGATTTGAATTCTGTATGATCAATAACAGCTTATTGATTTTATGCTTTGCAAAGTCTGAAATTATTCAAAATTACCTCTAACACATTATCATGGCTCATATTATCTAACAATTTATCGTTAGTCTCTTTCAGTATGTATTGATATGAATCAATTAAACAACAAAAGTATGTGAAGCAGAAAAGCTTTACTACGGAATTAACACTAAAGTAATTGCTCAAAATATTTACTTACAGGATTCTTCGTAATTACTTCATAAGCTATGCATTCAATCCCTTTCCTCGAACATGCCCAGCCATGTGACACCTATAAAACAATATAATATTTTAAAAAGGAAATAATGACTTTTATGAACAAATACCAATTATGTTTTGAACTCTTTAAAGAAAGTAATAAATATACATAATGTATGAATATTTATAAAAATCATCAATATTTCAAATTCGGATAGTCACTTTCTTAAAACAATCGCTGAACACAGCAAACCCAATTTTGAGGTTACGACTACCCAATGTTCAACACCCTAGCCTTGTATTTTTGAACCCAATCCAGAAGACAAAGAAACTCCTGAATCAAGTACTGTTAAAAATTTGCTTTCGTGTAAAAATTTTTTGATAGAAACAGCCTGCCTTTGCATGGAGATGAAAACCCCACGAGAAGCTCCCACGGTTAGTCTAAAGGCAAGGGGATTCTAACTCATGATCCGTCTACCACTGTGGATATTTTGCAACAGCACTGTGGTAGTTGCGAGCCGAGATCGGAATTCGTATCAACCAGCTATCACTGAGATTCGAGCCCAAGTGTTCACTTCATTGAGAAGCAAGCTCTCTATTCCCAGAGCCACCACGACTTACAGCCACTATATTTTATTTTATAGCCACCGTTGAACTGCCGACCCAATTTTGAGTTTACGACTACTAAAGTTCAGCTGCGTAGCTTTGTAATATTTAACCCAATCCAGGAGACAAGGGAGCTCCTGGATCAAATATTGCCTTCATGGAGGACTTTTTGATGGAACTATCCCACATTTACGTTACACGGAGAGGAAAACCACGAAAACCTCATGCGGCTATCCCGACGGCAAGGGTATTCTAACTCCGTCTACCACTGAGTATATTTTACGTCAGCACTGTGGTCGGGGTGAGCTGGGTATTCTTGAATTCGTCTTGACCGGCCAACGCTGGGAATCAAATCCGGATCAACTCATTGGGAAGCAAGCGATCTCTCTACATTGCACTGGTTACTGGCTCTATGGAAACCCTATATGGTTTTAAATTATGTGATAAAAAGTGATAAAATTCGGTAATTTTACCATGAAACCTTAGAGCAGCTGTTTTTAAAAGGTGTTCCGCGTAAAACTGGGGTTCAGTAAAAAAGATTAAGGAAGTTCCAAGAGTTAAAACTGTATTTCAAACAGTAAAAATGATATTAATTTCCAATCAGTAATCTATAATTTATTTAATATTTCTGCTATTTAAAAGAAATTTTTCATGCAAAAATAACCAATGAAGAAAATTTAGCAAAATGTATAAATATATTTTTATATGTTTTATTTCAAAAACAATGCACCAAATGAGCTATGAAAACAATATGCATTCGCCGAATCATAATTTGAGATATAAAGCGCTCGGTATTTTAAATTTTCTACTGATTTTTGCGAAAAAATTATGCCTAGAACGCCCAATAAACGGGTTGGGTTATAACGTATGTGTGTGACAGAAATTGTATTCTTGGCCATAGATGGCGCCACCAAAAAACAAGAAGAAGAGCAACCCCGTTGCCTTATTGGCATGAGACAACAACAACGAATTATTTTAAACAACTGTTATTTTGACAAATATTACACTATTTTTTGCACGATAACTACTGTTTTGTACTTAAAATGTATTTAGTTTAGCTCAACGTCAAAAATGGTGGCAACTATGCAGCAAAATTGTTTACTATGTAGGTTTTCTTACTTTTGACTTTTCATGGGAAAATAAGAATTTTTCTTGCACTTATCATGTAAAATATTGGCCAAAATTTTCTGCCCCTCAAAAGGTGAAAAATAAGAATAAATAAAGCTCTCTACAACTTACTTGAATAAGTACACATGCAAGAAAGGCGAGTAGAATTCTTTTCATAATTTTTCAAGTCGTCAAATCTGTAATAAAATAAGCAAGATATAAGGATTTAAGTAACAAACAAATTTATTTTATTTTGAAAGATAAAATTTTCTATACAAAGAAGTATTTTGTTCAAAAAGTGTCTTTTATATAGTAACTTTTGACTCATATATGTGATCTGAATATAAAAGTAGAAATTTTATGAACTCAGAACTAAAATTTGATTATTAAAAAGCAATTTGATAATCATTTGAAATCAAATATTATGTTTCCAAATATTTTATTTCTTTTGCCATTATTTATACTTAATTTTATTTATTTATTTTTGTAATTTTTATTTATTATTTTTTCTTATTAAATATCATTTTATTAAAAGATTTCATTGAGAAATAAGTTAGATGGTTATAAAAATATATCACACACATAAAATCTGTGGTATAATAAAATATGATTTATATATGAATGGTTTTTGAAAACATCAGTTAAAGAACATTTTAAAGTTAGAATCCAAACCAATCACCAAAGCTAAAATTATTTTCTTTATTAAATTATGAAATTATTAAATTTAATTAAATTTTTAAGTTTCAAAATTAGTGCACTGTATGAAAACACACATTTTGAAAATGTTAGACAACTTTAAGTGAGTTAGATAAAAATGCACATTTACATAATGCTATTAGTATTTTATTAAACTATTTGAAGGAAACATGTACTAAGAATAAGCATAAATCTACTTTTTTTCTAAAAAGTATAGCCTACATTATTTGGCCTAAAAGTCAATGCATATATTCATATTGCTACAACCATTTGCTGTAACGTTACTCAAAATACTAAAAATTATTTTTTATATTATAACTACAATCATACGAAGAAAGATTTAATCGGAGGAAATCAATAAACTGGAGAACGTGCACTTTTCACAAAATATATTTTTCATATCTTTCACGTCATTCTTTACGAGATATTTTTGGCTTTTCAATAATTCAAATATATATTTTATTATGATAACATATGCCAGTTAACATTCGAAAATATGTTTCATGGTCATATTAAAATTTTGAAATTTCAATTATTTAAACAAATTAAATTTATTTATATAAATTAAATTTTAATATGCTATTAATAAATTAAAACATAATTAATCACACTGGGGAAAAAAGCATTTTCAAAGCTACCAGAGTATGGTAAATTTAACTATTTTTATGGCTCTATGGTAACACCAAAAAGCTGGATAATTCTTACCGAAGCGCTTTGGTAATAGATCTGGTAAAAATTAACTATAAAATATGGTTTTATAGTATATGATAAAATTTGGTAAAGTTGCTAAAATTTGGGGATTTTATCATGATACCTTTGATCATGACAAAAAAAAAACAATTATTAGGTTAAATTTGGTATTATTTACTCCATTACTTACTACTTGTTAGTACTAACTTAATTTCAATTTAGTATCATTTACTAAACGTGGTGTAATAAGAACTATAATTTTAAGAACCAATATTTCTGGTAAACCATTACTATATGAAAGAAATGGCCAAGTAAATGGTTCAAATACCATATATTTCGGTTTTATTAATCATAATTATGGTTTTTTTACCAGAAATGTCATTACAGTACAGTAATTTTACCAGATTTTTCTTTTTCCCTGCAGCAGGCGTATAGAAATAGTGACATCGTCCAAGTTTCCCCCTCCCCCATTTACAGAATTTCCAATTTACCGCTCCACAATTTGCAGTAAATAAAGGGATAGAAGGACTCCATATTTTTGTTAAAACATTATAACTTATATTTTAAAAAGTGCATACTAATTTCATAATTAAAAAAGATTTTTTTATTATTCTTTTCTCAATGTTATTTTCATGGCGTCATCACATTTGGCATTCGAATCAAAATTCAAACTTTAGCTAATATAAAAATGCCCATTCTAAGATTTTAACAAAAAATTGCTGACTATTTAAATTATATTAAGGGCAGACATTTAATAACTATAGCATAATTGTTAAAAAAAAATTATTTTAAAATATCGTGATTAAACTTAATAATTATTTTAAAATAGTGCAATTATTTAAAAATATTAATATTTTATTTTCCATCTCTGCTTGATTCTTGGAATAGAAATTTTTATATTAGTTTAATTTTGGCTTTAAAGACAAATGACATGAAACTCACACTTTACAAAATATTTAGAAAAGTGTCAATATTTTAATTATGAAATTAATCCTCACTCTTTAATCTGCAATTGTAGAAAAACGTTTACTTACGGCATTAAAAACTCTGTAAATGCACTGTAAAAAATTCCTGATCAAATTACACTAATAAGTACTGGCATCCAGACTGACACATCTGTAGAATCCATTTTTAACGCAAAATTTTATACTGTACTTTTTACAGTAATGTTTATGTAATTACAAAGATTCAGTGACTTCGCAGTAAATACAGTAAAAATTATGGTACATCAAATTTTTTTCGCCTTCGAATCTTTTTACCCTTAAGCCCATTTTTATTGTAAAATTTAACGGTAAAAATGGGTTTAAGGGTAAAAAAATGCTTACACACTGAGTGCCAGTACTTTTTACAGTAATTTGAAGTTGAAGTTTTTACAGTGAAGCATTTATTCAAAAAAATAAATGAATAAATAGAAAAATTAAAAAAGTTTCAAAAAAAACGTATTTATCTACATTCACTGTTTTTGAAATACAAATTAGAACATTCCTTTTTAGCCTACTGATGAAGGCGTCCCAATATAACACCGAAACGCGTATATGTTACAATTAAAAACTTTACCATTTGCGATATCTGAACATTGCTTTTAATATAATTTAACATTCCTTTTTAATTTCACAGAAATATCTTCAATGAATAATTACGTTTCAAATCCTAATTATTCTTGAAGGCGATAAAAAGAAAATTTCTATTATTTTTTATTGATTTAATCGCTTGAAGTTGCTTCATTCAATAAAAACAGCGATAAGAGCAACAAAAAAAAATAAACGTTAGTAAATAAAAACGAAAAGAAAAATCTACAAACAACAAAATCAACTCACCAACGCCAAGAAAAGAGAAGATACAAGACCTTGACACTTAAAATGATAGAAGCTGCGGAGTCGATCCTCAACTACTATTTATAGACGGTGGTCAAGCATAGGTCACGACTGAAGGACCGGTCCGCTATCTCACCCAAACAACCTAAATCTCTTTTTTTTCTTTTTTTTCTTTCACCGACCAAAACTTCTTTTTTACGTGTCATGAGAGCAAGATGGGGTTGCTTCCTTCTTTCCGGAAATGCTCACTTCTTTTCGCACTTATTTGTTCCAAAAAATAAACTAGATTCTAAAGTTCTCTTAGCAAAAAGAAAAATGTTTTTTTGAAAAATGTCCTCATATAAAAGCCTAAACTGCTGGAGTTCACTAACTTTAAGAACACTTTTTGTCAGTTGAACCTTTTCTTAACTTTTATAAAACGCGTCTACTTTCTAGACAATTTCAGTAAAAAAATTCAAAATTTCATAATTCTTTCAAAATTTTATCTATAATTCTATCTAAATATTTGAAACACATAAAATTTGGTCAGAAAGTAGTCGAAGTAAAATTGATCATCGGATTGAAATTATATTTCAATCAATATATTTTGATTAAGTCTTAAATGTTGTAACGTATTTTCATAAAATAAAATGGAATTCTTTTCTGAAAAAAAAAATTTTTTTTTCTAAGCCCGATTTTAAGACAAAATGTGATTATTCATTCATTCAGTTTCAAAATTATTTAAATTTGCTCTATAATGGTTTAGAACAGAAAAGAGTAAAAAATTGAACTAGTATACACAGAGCCGTGGTGGTTTAGGGGATAGGCCGTTCGCCTTTCAAAGAGGTGAACTGGATTCGAATCCCAACGACAGCAGGTCGATACGAATTTCGCACCCGGTTCGCACCAACCACCGTGCTGACGTAAAATATCCTCAGTGGTAGACGGATCATGAGTCAGAGTCCCCTCGACGTCAGACTGTTCATGGGATGTTTTCGTGATTTTCCTCTCCATGTAAGGCAAATGAGGGTTGGTTACATAGAAAGTCCTCCACGAAAGCAAATTTCTTCCTAGTACTTAATCCAGGAGTTCCTTTGTCTTCTGGATTAGGTTCAAAATTACAAGGCTACGGAGTTGATCATTAGTTGTCGTGAAATCAAAAAATTGGGACGGTTCTTCAACGACATTTATAAAATCAGTATGCATGCATCACACAACTATGATCAAGCCCCGTTTTTCAGGGCTCTATCTTTTATCACCTACCATTAGAAAGCCACGTACATTTACCACTTCCCCAGACGGGTGACGTGGACAGCGTCTGAGCTGGTACCGCTCTTTCAAAACTTGCTGCGCAACAACCAACGAGACGTTTTTCAGTCACTACTGACATGCACCCTGTTGTGTATACACGCTGGTTGTTTAGTCAGTTTCCAGGATCGAACTCACGACCCTCCACCAGTGGTGAGAATGACGTCTTTATCGTCTGCCCCACAGGAGCAGTCTTCAATCAGTGAATTAGAATCAATAAATAATTGTTATTAAACTGGATACAAAGAAATGAAACAAAATAAACTAAAGTGAAACATAATTTTCAAATATCTATCTATATTATATAAAACGCTAATACGTATGTATGTATGTATGTATGTATGTATGTATGTATGTATGTATGTATGTATGTATGTATGTATGTATGTATGTATGTATGTATGTATGTATGTATGTATGTATGTATGTATGTATGTATGTATGTATGTATGTATGTATGTATGTATGTATGTATGTATGTATGTATGTATGTATGTATGTATGTATGTATGTATGTATGTATGTATGTATGTATGTATGTATGTATGTATGTATGTATGTATGTATGTATGTATGTATGTATGTATGTATGTATGTATGTATGTATGTATGTATGTATGTATGTATGTATNATATATATATATAATTGTTTCTAAATAGTTGAAAGATATAAAATTTTGCCAAAAAGTATTCAAAGTAAAATTGATCATCGGATTGAAATTATATTTCAATCAATATATTTTGATTAAGTTTTGAGTGTTGCAAAGTATTTTCATAAAATAAAATTAAATTCTTTTCTGAAAAAAACAAATTTTTCTTAACCCGATTTTCAGACAAAATTTGATTATTCATTCTATAGTTTAAAAATTATTTACATTTGCTCTATGATGGTTTAGAACAAAAGAGTAAAAAATGTAACTAGTATGCACAGAGCCGTGGTAGTTCAGGGGATAGAGCGTTCGAATGGTGAACTGGATTCGAATCCCAATGACAGCTGGTCGATACGAATTCCGCACCCGGTTCGCATCAACGACAGTGCTGACGTAAAATATCCTCAGTGGTAGACGGATCATGGGTCAGAGTCAGACTCTTCGTGGGATGTTTTCGAGGTTTTCCTCTCCATGTAAGGTAAATGAGGGTTAGTTACACAAAAAGACCTCCACGAAAGCAAATTTCTCCCTAGTACTTGATCCAGGAGTTCCCTTGTCTTCTGGATTAAGTTCAAAATTACAAGTTCACGGAGTTGATCATTAGTTGTCTTAAAATCAAAAAATTGGGACGGCTGTTCAACGACATTTTTAAAATCAGTATGCATGCATCACACTATAATCTAGCCCCGTTTTTCAGGTCTCTATCTTTTATCACCTACCATTAGAAAGCCACGTAAATTTGCAGCTTCTCCAGACGGGTGACGTGTGCAGCGCCATAGCTGGTAACGCTCTCTCAAAACTTGCCATACAACGACCAACGAGAGGACTTTCAGTCACTACTGACATGCACCTCGTTGCGTACACACACTGGTAGTTTATAGTCGCTTTCCAGGATCGAATTCACGACCCTCCACCAGTGGTGAGAATGACGTCTTTATCGTCTGCCCCACAGTAGCGGTCTTCAATCAGTGTATTAGAATCAATAAATAATTGTTATGAAACTCGATACAAAGAAATTAAACAAAATAAACTAAAGTGAAACACAATTTTCAAATATATTATAAAATTCATGATATAATTAAATGCTTGAACTGAGAAAACTCGCTTTGCAAATACTGATATTAAATACATTATACTAAAGATTCAAACCATTGGATAACATAAAGCTATTCAGAGTGCTCCGCAATAAATTTAAATTGAGTACCTGCAAGCAACGTGGATATCGATCCAAATTGGTTCTTGAAAAGAGGCATTTGTTTATGTTAGCAACTATTCCAACCCATCAAGTATGAATTCGGTTTTCCGATCTTGTAATCGATTATTGTATTGTAAGACAATATCGCAGTTAATGAATTCTTGTAAATTATGCAAATTTATTATTAATACTTGGCAAAACAAAATAAATTAGCTATTCATTTCCCTTTACTAACGATAAGAAGCCGACACTAAAACAAGCCTAACAGCTGTAATGTTAACAGGCCATCTTGTTCATAAACAACCAGCTGGTGTTGAGGTTATAGGTCAGGTGGTTGGGCATCAGCGGTCTTCTTCTCAAGTTGAGAGTATCCCAGTTCTCAGTTTGTTGTTTAGTCTGGGGAAAAATAAAATGCTTTCTACTGTGGGTACTTTTTACCGTTATTTAATCTGAAATTGTTGTACAGCATAACTGCAGTTTGGGAAATATGGTCATTATAGTTTAGACATGAGAGTTATCCAAAATTTGAACCCCTTATTGTTATTCTAGTTTTTGTGTAATTCGTCATACCTCCAGAATTCTTTAAGCGAATCGAAAAATGTTTGAACTCAATTATTAAATTCGTTCATCTAAAGATTCTGTTATCCACGCAAAAAATATTTTTTGATAATTATTTATTATTCTTTATTATTTTTTTTAAATAATTTGATTTAATTATATTCAATTAAATTCAGAATTGTAAAATAGACAAATTCTTGCATCATTTTAAAGAATATAATTTTGTAAGGCAAAGTATAAAATTTTTACAAAATCGGTAGAAAAGTTTTTGCGAAATTAAGTTTTGACTTAAAATTAGACTTCTAAGACATTACAGACTTCTAAGGAAATATATAAATGCAAGTAAAGGAAATAATATGTAAAGGAGGAAATAAACTATAAAAGTAAAATAAATATAATGGTAGAGATGCGAGATATGACTAGTATTTTTTTTTTCTCTGAAGTCGTTTTGATAGCAAAATTCTTAAACAAGCAATCTAAAAATTAACAAACTTTAACATTTATATGAAGAGAACGTGGTTTTCTAAACATTTAAGCCCATAACGGTGAATTTAATAAGCAGTAAGGGGCAGGAGTGACGGGCAAAATAAAGGACAGCATTTTTCTTATAAATTGTGAAAATGTAAAAAAAAAAAATGGCCTATGATATATCTAGACATTTCTAAACTTAAGAGGCCCTTCCACTCCTAACCGAACTCCTCTATCGAAGAGATGGGGAAGAGGAGGGAAAATTCTAAATATACCTTCAATCCTCTTTAGTGGCCGGAGTAGCCCGGTTGACAGGGCGTTGGGCCCATGTCCCACAGGTCGTGAGTTCGATCCCCACCGGCTGAGGACTCCCCGAGTAATAAATGGTGACTGGTGCACGTTAAATCTGCGGGCCACAAAGTCCTCCATGTTCCCATAACAAATCATACTTCTGGGGGTACTGAAATGGAGATGGATCGTTCTCTGGTTCAGATCAAAATTACGAGCCGTAAATGAATGAATATATATATGAATGAGTCTGCAATATAAACGGGATGTGTGACGTATGTGTGTGGCAGAAGTCGAATTCCTGGCCATAGATAGCGTAACCTCTTAGCCTTAATATTATACGACAACAACAACAATCCTTTTTTTTTAATTTTCATAAATATACCGGTAATGGAAATTTACTCTATTTGGCGGTAGCTTTCGATACTTGTAAAATACAAGCCCACCACAATCACAATTTGAGATATAATGCGTGCGGTATTTTAAATTTCCTATTGATTTTTTGAGAAAAAAATTGTGCCTATAAAATTCTGTAATCAACAGTTTTTGATAGGTAGTTGAATCATATACAGTTGCCGTTTATTAGATTTTTGATTAACACCTTTGCTTTTATGCAATTATCGTTTGAAGAATTCTTTAACGTCATCCATAACGGTTTTCATTCATTTAAACTTTAATGGAATTAGATTTCAAGATATC